TCCGCCCGCCTCTACCTCCCCAGCACTGGGATTACAGGTGTGTGCTGCTGTGCCCAGCTTTTATGTGAGTAGTGGGGAACTGACCTCAGGTCCTCGTGTTCTGTTGACCCACTGAGCGGACTCCATATCCCCTCTCCTTTCCTGTGGTAGTAATGATGCCATGGATAGTAAAGGGTTTTGCTTATGTCTTTTGCTGTTTAGTGCTGGAGATTAAACCCTGAGCATGCGCTCTGCCCCTAAGCCGCACCATCAGCCATAGGTGGGGTCTATTTTAATCCTTGTTTTTCCTGTTTATTTATTTTTATTTTATGTATATGCATGTTTTGCCTGCATGTATATAAGTGCACCCATGTTGTGCAATGCCTGTGGAGGCCAGAAAAGGGTTCCCCTGGAACTAGAGTTAAGGACATTATTAGCTGCCATGTGGGTGATGAGAACAGAACCCGGGTCCTCTGCAAGAGCAGCCAGTGCTCTTAACTGCTGAATCATTCCCAGTCCCTGCTTTGCCTCTAACTTTGCAAAACTAAATAGCATTCCTCTATATTGTAAGCCCCAGAGCCGTGGCTTTGGCCTCAAGGTGCTGCTGTCCATGCCAGGATCTGATGCTCCACGGTCTGCTTCATGCCTTCTCTGTGGCCTTTCTGCTTCACTTTCCTCCACTTCTGACACCTGCCAGTTCTCAGTCCCAGGGCTTTGTTTCTGGGGAAGAGAATTCGACTGGTTTAGCCAAGGTCAGGTGGCTACTAATTGGTCCAGTTGAGAGGGACCGAGCTTGGGCCAGGTCAGTGCCCTTTGCTCAGCCTCCAGCAGCTTTCTGCATCTCCCGCACTTAAGCTCTTCTACTCTTCCCACCCATCTTTGTTTTTACTTTTTATTACTGTAGTGCTTGGATCAAACCCAGAGCTTTAGGTGTGCTGGGCAAGCCTCAGCCACTGCTCTATCCCCAGCCTACCCTCTCCTAATGCCTGCAGCTCCCTCCCTTGGCGCTTCCTGATCACACCATTCTACCTGATTTTTGTTTGTTTGTCTGAGACAAGGTCATATGTAGCCCAGGCTAGCCTCAAACTCAAACTTGCTATGTAGCCGAGGATGGCTTTTTGACTTTTGGTCTTTCTGCCTCTATCTTCTAAATGCTGAGAGCTGCCACCATGCCATTTGTGGAGTGCTATGATTAAACGGAAGGCTCTGTGATTGCTGGGCAAACATTCAACCCACTGAACCGTATCCCCAGGCCCTGGGCATACAATTCTCGGTTACCAAATATACCTTAAATGCTTTATGAGCTCGAGAATCATATGCAGTATTTATTCTGAGCCACCTCCTCACCCTGGGCCGGGTACAGGCCAACCTTCCAAGTGCATTTTAACGTCTTTGGTTTTTTTTTTCCCCCAATATATGATATCATGGGATAGCTAACACTAATGCTAACAATTTCCATCTTCTTTTCTATGACCTGAATGATGCCTCTGCAGTGAGCTGGCATCTGAGGGGAGGGTACAGTATATGAGGAGATTGCTAATACACAGGGATAGTTTTCAGTAAGAAACTGGATGACACAAAAATCAAGAGAAGTATACATTTAGAACTGAATATTTACATATAGGAAGTTAGAGAAAACATCAGACTTTGTATCTCTATTTTTATATTGCACCACCATGATGACCCTGGAGGTCTTATTTCTTCAAGAATTATTGCCTTTTGCAGTGGAAAAATAGCAACTCATCAAATGTTACGTGCCTGCCATAGGCTACAAAGACAGCTGGACTACAGAGGTGGTAAATGGAGTCATTTTGCTAGGCCAAATTTCTCTCTCTCTCTCCCTCTCCCCTCCCCCTTCCCTCTCTCCCTCCCTTCCTCTCTCCCCACTCTCTCATTTAAGGATGAGGACATCTTGGCCTCAGATTCAGCTTAGTGTAGTAACTCAGAGGCACCATCTCTCATGACCACAGCCATTTCTCTTAAGTCTTTGTAAGGTAGGCAGTGATTGAGGTCTGATTTCCTTAGTCAGATACTACTCTTGATTTGATTCCCAGCACTAGGTGGGGAAACAAAAAACAAAAAGCCTCATAAAGAGTATCCACACCCAGGGCTCAACAGTTAAGAGCTTTGGCTGTTCAGTTCCCAACACCCACGTGATGACTAACACCCATCTGTAGCTCCAGTTCCAGGGTATCCAGTGCCCTCTTCTGGCCTCCATGGGCATTGCATACATGGGTACACATATACATGCAGGCAAGATGCTCGTATACATAAAATAAAAATTAATTAAAAAAAGAGTATCCGCTCATAATAGAAGCTGACTTTATGAAAAATAAATTGAGAAATAAACTGCTTTGGAAGCTTGCATGGAAAAATTAACCAAAAGGGACACTCTTCCTGTTAATGAGGATTGTTTCTGGCTAGAATCTTGTTTCATAATCTCCTTGGCTTATAGCTGTCTGAGTTTCCTGTGGGATACACAGGAATATGCAGGCATCTCCAGCAGTCACATCCCATCCTGTAAGGTCAGGGAAAGAGAAGAAAAATCCTTATTTCTGTTTCCCTCTCTGGGAGAGTCCTGAGAGGCACCCAAGGTATGGAGATACAGGGGAAGGAACTGACTGTCCCATCCTCATAGGGGTCCGCTTTAGTGATATCACACAGGCCTGCAGCATTACTCAGTAGCCCAAGTTTTAGTGTCGGACAGGTTATACAGTTTTCAGCATCCCCTGATCAGGAAATCACAGAGAATTTCCAGATAGCCACAGAGCATGAAACCTAGTACAAATCACTGGACACTGGGGTCCCAGATGACCACACAGATCATAACCTCAGGAAGCCTTGGGAGTTCAGTGGCCAGACATTAAGTCAAAGTGCACTGGCACCCTTAGGAAGCATGAAGGCAATTAAGGACTGGAACTGACCAACAAACCCAACTCCCAGGTCCAATCACCAGCACCTTTGGCAGCTTAGTAAGGCAAAACCATACCAACATGATTAATTCAGACCAGTTTGCCTTCCTGAAGGTGCCTGGAGCCGTGTGATGCCTTGGGCCGGGAAGAAGGGAGGGCTGAGACAGTTCGCTCCTCCCTCACAGTTCCCAGGTTCTCTGCCCTCCTGACTTTCTAATCTCCATTCTCTGCACTATAGCCAGAGTGGCCCTCTGGAAAATGCAGTCTACCCTGCTGCTGTTAATCTCTTTCCCTGTCTGAATACCTCAGTGCCCTTTTGTTATCCTCAAGTACAATGAAAATCTCACCAAGATTCCATCTGTACCCCCCTCAGCAACTCCCCATCCCTGAAATGTCTCTGTGTAGAGGACTTGGTGCAAGCTGTGACATACAAGTGGACACACTAGGTCACATCCCCCTTCAACTTCTTTCTTCCTGGAGATCAAAATTTACATGTTTCTGACTGTACCCCTATGCATTCCCTGCCCACAGCCACCGCCAATCCAGGATGGTGCACTTCCTTCCATTGAACCTTTAAATATTCTATTATTTTTATTTTATGTGTATCATCGCCTGTACTACAGATGGTTGTGAGTGCACCCATGGTGTGCAATGCCCATGGAAGTCAGAAGACAGTGTTAGAGCCCCCTGGTACTGGAATTACAGATAGTTGTTAGCCACCATGTGGGTGCTGGGAATTGAATCCAGGTCCTCTGCAAGAGCAGTCAGTGCTCTTCACCACTGAGCCATCTCTCCAGCCCCAACACTGCACCTTTAATTCCTCTTTAATGTACATCTCTTGGATTATAAGCACCACAGGGAAGGAAGTTGTATTCTATGCACAGTGTCTGGAGTATAGTGAGGGCTCCGTAGGTATTTGTTGAAATGTGAGTGGATAGACCACACAGTTCACACTTTACACTGGAGCCATGGTTATCTGTTATTTGCTATTTTTCACATTTCAATAGTTGTTTCAGGAGCTGTTTGACCTCAGCTAGCATGCTGTCTGCCTTTCTGTCCCCACAGTGCTCATCCTGTCATTCAGAGAATATTACGGGGTAAGAGATGATGGACATTTGACATATTTGTTCCCTGATTCAGTTAGGCTGTGTATTGGTGGGATTCAGTTGTCTGTTGATTTTGGAGACGAAGAAAAAGCAAAGCTAGACATAACCTTACTTAAGGGTTTCCATCTCAAAATAAAATCAGTCACTGTGTCAACTTACTGGTTTCTGAGACATTTTGGATTGTTGGTTTATTTGTTTTGATTTGCTGGAGACACATATACTCTATCACCAAGCTAATTGTCCAGCCATTGGCTTTGGATTTGCTGGGTCGGTCAGGCCAACTTAGAACTCATGATCCTCTGCCAGTACCTCCCAAGTGCCCACCACACCCAAATGGAAATAGCTCTTTCTTTTTGATTGATGTTTGTCTGCATGTATGTAAGTACAACATATTCATGCAGTGCTCTTGGAAGCCAGAAGAGGGCATCAGATCCCCTAAAACTGGAGTTACAGATGCTTGTAAGTAGCTGTGTGGGTGCTGGAAACAGAACTTTGGTTTTCTGCAAGAGCAGCCAATGCTCTTAATTGTTAAACCATCTCTCTAGCTCCAAGAAAAAGTTCTTGGTAGAAGACTTAGAAGGACTGGTTGTGTCCAGTTCACTGTGATGTGAGCCTACTATCCACTTTAGTGCATAGAAATGTGCCCAGTCCTACCTGTTGTGATATAACTGTGAGAATATGTCCAGTGGGCAAAGCCATTGATTCTTTCCTGTAACAGAGGCTTTCTCTTACCCTGTTTGCAGTGGCGTTTAAGGGCAGACACCCACTTCTTACTGGGATCATAAAGAACATTTATTTTCTCAGTAACTTGTATGATTGATACCGTCCACGATTTCGTTTTTCAGTATAGTTCTTCTGGTAGACATTTTTCCATGGCTATAGTGTATGTCCAGCATAGCTGGACTTGGAAATCTCTTAATAATAATAATAGTAATAATAATAATAATAATAACAATAATAATTTCCTTAAATAGTAATGCTTTCTTTGACATGTCTTTTGCAGACAAGAAGCCCTAAGCTGTCTCACAGTCCTCAGCCTCCCAATCTGGGGGATCCGATTGAGCATTTATCAGAGACATCCGGTGATTCCTTGGAAGCCATGTCTGAGGCAGACGCACCAAGTCCTTTTGCCAGAGGAAGTCGAACTCGAGCAAGTCTTCCCGTGGTGAGGTCAGCCAACCAAACAAAAGAAAGATCTCTGGGTAAGCTTCAAAAGGCAGTGTGGTGGTTTGAATGAGACTGTCCCCCACCAGCTCAGAGGGTTTGAATGCTTGGTTCTGGTTGGTGGTGCTGTTTGTGGAGGGTCCTCTGGAACTGTAGGCTAAGTAAATTCTTTCTTCTATAAGTTGCTTTGGTCATGCTGTTTTATCACAGCAACAGAACAGTAACTCATACAAGCAGTTTCTGATGCCCTTTTCTTACAGCATCCATTTTTTTTTACTTACAAACATTTTGCCCTGCATTCAAATGTTAATTTGATCTTAATTTGTACAAACACCCTGGGGGATTTTGTCAGTTTAGTGTTGTGTTAACTTTCTGCCACTATGACAGAACACCTAAGGCAATCCATGTATAAGGAGAAAAGATTTATTTTGGCTCCCTGTCTTAGAGGTTTCAGTCCTTCTTTGGCTGGCTCTGTTGCTGACCAGTGGGAAGGCAGTGATCATAGAGGAGCAATGCTGCTCACCACCTGGTAGCCAGGAAGCAGAGAGGATGCCTGCACTCACGTGACGTGTTGCTTTATTCTTATGAGGAGAATACACATCTTGGTGGGCTCTTGTGGTGTTGCACAGCAGCTGCTGGGTAGCAGACAGGGAGGGAAGGGCCCAGGGCCTCCTTCCACTTGGCTCCACCCCCAGAGTGCCATTACCTCCCAGGGTTGTAGCTACAGACTGGTGAACGCATCTTTTACATATTGGCCTTTGGGGCACATTTACAATCCAAACCCAAATGAGGTGCTGAGCATTTCCAGAGGAATCAGCTAAGGCTATCCCTGGGGTGGGGGAACACATGTGGAACTGTCTGGGATCCGCAGCTTCAGCCACCAGGTTGGTAGTACTTGCTTATGTCCCTGGGCTAGGGACTACCAAGGGATGACCTATGGAGTGAGCCTTGCTCACCTCCCCTCTTGCTGAGCGGTTTGATGGGGTGCTCAAAGACCCCCCATCAGAACTCAGGGCTGTTGTGTTCTGGCATGAGAGTATTTGTTTCTTTTTTGTCTTTGCCATGTGTTCGTCTTTCCCTCCCTCTCTCCCTCCCTCTCTCCCTCCCTCCCTTCCTCCCTCCTTCCTTCCCTTCCTCTCTCCCTCCTTCCCTTCTTCCTTCCACCCACTAAGTCCATTTAGTGCTAGCTGTGTGTTCATTGAATGACCACATCCCCCAAAACAAATGATTCTACTCCCCCTGGCAACTATCCACTGTCAACAGTTCTTCCATAAGGACTGGGGCCTGGAGACTCTCCACATTATTTAGCTAAGATTTTGGCTGGCATGATCCTGAGTAGATCTTGTGCAGCAACAGAGCTGCTATTCAATCATGACTGAGAGCCATATCATCTCCAAAGGACAGCCTTTCAATGCTCTTCCCTCCATCCTCTGGCTCTTGCATTATTTCTGCTTCTTCTACAATGTTTATTGAAAGCTGTGGGACAGGCAATATCCTGTTTAGAACTGAGCACACAGTACTTTGACCAGTTATACCTCTCTCTGTTTTCTGCTGCTCACTGCAAAAAATAAATAAATAAATAAATAAATAAATAAATAAATAAATAAATAAATAAATAAAATCACAGACAGGTGGAGTTTTGGGGCAATAGGGGACAGAAGAGGGATCAATATGCAAAACCTTGAGTCTGGCCCATGCAGAAAGTAACTGAGTCTAGCAAGTGTGTTGCCAGAAGAATAAGGAGAAGACAGATGTGAATCCGTATCTTGACTTTGTTTCCTTATTGCAGAGAACAGAGCCAACTGGGTTCAGACTCCATTCTGTCAAAGGCTAACAAACAAATAACCCTATTATTATTTGTGTAGTCAGACATCTTCCTACCTACCTTAAAAGCATTATTATTTATATTGTCAATAGTAGTGTTCTTTTACTTTTATGTAGTCATGTCTTGTTTCTTCATCATCATCATTATTATTATTGCTATTATTGTATATGATGCGTGCGAATGTAGGCATGCCACATGCCATAGTGCGCATGTGGAGGTCAGAGGACAACTTTCAAGAGTCCATTTATTCTTCTACCTTGTTTCTGAGGCAGGGTCTCCTTGTTTCTGCTGGGCTGAATACTCCAGGCTGCTTGCTGGCCTGCAAGCTTCTGAGTAAGCCTCCCACCTTGCTGCAGAAATGCTGAGATTATAGATGCATGGAGTCACATGGGGCTTTTTATGTGGGGTCTGAGAATTGAACCCGGGCCATCAGGCTTGCACAGCAGCACTCTTATGTGCTGAGCCACCTTGCTGGCCCGTCACTGTTGTTTTAATTGAATACGTGTAAAGCAAATGCTAATGCATGTAAACTGCATTATGATCAAGTAAGGAACTGGCCATTTCAACCTACATCTCTGCAATGTTTAAGTTCTTAATGTCATCTAACAGTCCTGTACTTTTGAGGCGCACGATGGTGCCTCGTCACCATATACAGTGGGTCCTGATCATATCAGGCTGATTAAGACTTGTCATCTCCCTACCGCCATTTTGAGTTTGGCATCTTCAAGCTCTTTCTTACTCTTATTCTTAAAACATATAATAGGCTACTGTGAAGGTACAGATGGTTTTGTGAATTTGCGTGGCTTCCCTGTGTAGAGACCATACTGGTCTCTGAATTGGTCCAGTTTTAGTGTAAGTGTTGATGGAGCAAGCCCTCAGTAGTACATTTAACCTTCCGTTTCATGCTGGGTGTGGTGTGCCACACTGGAGTACTGGAAAGGCTAAGGCAGGAGGATTTTCAGTTACTGTCCAGCCTGGGTTACAGAGTGATTTTGAGGGCAGCTTGGACCAAAGTCGCTACAAACTGTCCTTAACTCCAGTTTCAGGGGAATCAAAGTCCTCTTCTGACCTCCGCAGCATTGCACGACACAGGTACACTCACACACATCCAGGCAATACATTCATACACATAAAATAAAAATAATAAATGAAAAAATTTTTTTAAAAAGCCAAAACAAAACCAACAACAACAAAAAGCAACCTTTCTTTTTTTATTTCTAGTTTTATACACTTGTTCTTAGACTAATAATTCAAGGTCCTTGAAGCCCTCAGAAAATTCTCTTTGGTTTTTTGTGTGTGTGTGTGTGTGTGTATGTGTATGTGTGTGTGTTTCTTTCTTTGAATTGGCAGTTACGTGGCAGGAGGGAAGTCGGACCCTAGATCTTATTAGCCCCATCTTACAAAAGTCTGTCTCTGGTACCACAGGGTTGGCCAGGCCAGTGTGAAGCTGTCATGGCCTCCCCATTACCACCAGGCTGTGCCTTCCACCTGGATTAAAGAGCTTGGGCTTTAGCCTCCTCTCACCCTTGAAGCTGGAGCCAGGCAGGGAGTGGAGTTGTCCTTTGTGCTTTGCAGGAAATGAGTGGGGATTGGGTCTCTAAATGAAGATAGCCCCTGCTTGGCTACATGAAGCGCCTGTGCACCTCCCCCAACCCCTGGGAACCTGAGCCTGCTGGATAATGGATTCTTTGTCTCCAAGGAAGGAATTTCCTTTTTGGCGCCACAGCTGCTGGCCTTGCAGGTGGATTCCTGCCCAGCACAGCCCTGGGCGGAGTGGAGAGGCTACAGGAGCAGGGACAGCCGTGCCCTAGGGATTGCTGAGGGAGATCTGTATGGTTCTGGCTGGTTGTGCTTCCGCAAAATAAGTATTCAGCCTGACTCTAAGCCCACTTTCCTATAAAGTGCCTGTAAAGACGCCATAGATGGCTAAAAATGTATCCGCCACCTTAATGAGGGGCATTTTAACTTGTGATTTTTTGCAACTTCAGGATAGAAACAAAACGGCACAGGGAGAAGAGAGGGCAGATGAGAAGTTTGCCAACGCCAGGCTAGCGGCAGCTTAAGGCTGCGAGGGTGGCGCTGGGCCAGCATGGTTGGTGCTGCCCATGACTGCCTCCTTGTGGCCAACTTGGGAATCCCCTCCAGGATGCCCCTGGTCCTCATATTGACGCTGGCTGGGGTTGATGAGGTCAGGAAATAAAGGGGGAAGTGTGAGTCACAAGGAACCTGTAAATGCAATCTCCTTTCAAAGGCCCTTGGTCAGCCTTGACTTTGGGGGAGTCTGCCTGATCTTATTTAACATGTAGACACACAGAATCTCTCCCCAGACTGCCACATAAGCACTAGTGTCCCACCAAGCCTCACATGCATAACAGCCTGCAGACCTACTGTTGGTGCTGTTTGGAAGTCCCTGGGTGCTTTAGGGAATCTGTATTGTCATTTTGTTGTGAATTACAGAATTTTAAGCTAGCTTTTGAAGCCCCATTGATCTTTATGTATTTATAATTTTCATCATTTGTTCATCATAGTTTTTTTTCTTTAAATCAACTGATGGGCCTGTGCTGGCATGCCGTTATCACTCACAGTTCATAGCTGGCAGTGAGGCCCATCCTTGTGATTATATACACAGGGTGGAATCAGACACGTCGTCGTGACAGGTAACGGCCACTGTAGGATCACCGCCCACAGATCCTCTGTATTCTGCCTATTATCCCTCCTTTCCCCTTAATCTCTGACCACCATTGAGCTCTTTTGATGTGCAATAGGCCTGCCTTTTCCAGAATGTTCTACAGTTGGAGTGAGACAGTTTGTCCCTTTCAGATTGACGGCTTCCACGTAGCAATACGCAGTTAAGTTTCCTCCATGTCTTTTCACGGCTTGAAGCTCATTTCTGTTTATCACTGAATAATGTTCCATCATCTCAATGTGTCAGTTTGCCCATTCACCCTCTGAAGGACATTGTAGTTGCTTCCAAGTTTGGGTAGTTATGAATAAAACTGCTAAAAGCATTCGTGTGTAGGTTTCTTTGAGTGAATTTCCAAGAGTATAGCTATGGATCATGTGAGAAGGTTGTTTAATTTAGCTTCATCACGGATTCTTTTTTTTAAGCGCAACTCTTTTTTAAAAAAGATTTATTTTTAGTCTTAATTATGTGTAGATATTTGTCTCTGTATGGGGATATGTGTATGTAAGTACAGTTGCTCTGGGAGGCCA